CGTCAGCTCGGCGCTTTCACGCACTCGCACCATAAGAGGACCCCTATCAAGCCAATTTTTTTTTTTCCCCAACCCATTTTTCTTCATCAGGAGGAGCGAAAGGACATCTCTGAAGAATTCGAGCTTCGCGAACGCGCTGCAGGGGTTTGACAAAGCAGGTGCCGTCGGGTGAGGGGGGCGATCTGGAAGGAGAGGGTCGGGGCGGGGGGGGGGGGGGCAGAGTTAACCAACCGACCTTTGTGATCTCCTCCTTCTGTTTCTTGATGTTGCTTACGATCTCGAGGATCCGGTGGGTGTACGCGGAGCGAGTCACTTCCTTCGGGAGGCTCTCGTACTCCTTCAGCTGTGAATCAAAAGACGATCTGACTCAATTCAGCCTCGCGAGGACCCTTTGGCATTAACCTCGGAAGGAGCCGGGACTGACTGAGCAGGCGGCACCGAACTCACCATCTGCTTGTAGACAGCTTCCTTGCTCTTCATGTCCTCCGCCAACTGCTTGATTTTTTCGTGCGTCGCTTTAATCTCCTCCAGCTTGCGAGATGACTCCAGCTGCCGGGGAGGGAGAGAGGGAGAGACAGGGAGTGAGCGCACGCAACAGAATAACGGCACAGCGAGCCAGAGAAAACCCAGACTTCTCCCACCCCACCCAACCTCACAGCGATTCCAAAAACGCCGCACGTTTCCTCAGAGCCAGGAGCGACGAGAGGTCATTCAGCTGATCCCATCTGGGATCTCCTGCATCACTCCCTTTAACCCCATTGCTAATATTAAATAGCCCTTGGTCTCGTTCTTAAGATTATGGTCGCTCCCCCCACCCTCCGAGAGAGAGGACGTTCCTTCTGCTCCTCTCGGTTTTAAACCTGTTCCCTGCTAAGCCTACAAGGCGAGCTCTCGCTCCACATGAGGGACATCTGCTTTGTCAATCCCCTTCCGCATTCATAAACCTTCAATTCCTCAGGAGGTGCATAGGAACATCTCTCAAGAGGTTGATCAGGAAAACGGGTTAAAAAAGGTTGCTTATTCGGGGGTTCTCTTGCGGCGCAGTGGTAACATCCCTACCCCTGGACCAAAAGATCTGGGTTCAAGTCTCACCTGCTCCAGAGGCATGTAAGCACATCTCTGAACAGGATGATTAGAAAAAAAAAAAAAGGGTAAAAAAAAAAAAAATTAAAATTGCTTGTTAGGGGTCCTCTTGTGGCACAATGTAAGGATAGGTCACAAATTGATGGATCACAAGAGCAGCGTTTCAACTCTGGGTAAATGGAGTACAGCCTCGTTGAACTGCCCTCAACGCGACGACACCCCTCCTTCAAGTAATGGGGGGTGGGGGGGGCATAACTCTACAAAGCACTCTGGATATGGGCGCTCCAATGCCATCTAGAGGCAGCTACGTTTGTCTCCTTCCGTTCCTTCATTGTGCCCTCCTCATGCCCGGTTGTACCCCGCGGGCACACTTCCTGCTGCTCGTGGCCCAAATTGAGATGGACTCCACACACACCCCCATTCCCCCGCTCCGCACCCCCCAGTGAACCTGGTCAGGTTGAAGGGCTAATCCCAGTCAGAGGGAGGCGCTACTGAGCTCATATCAACGTGATCCAGTTTGAAGAGTTGGGGTTGGGAGGGGGAAGAGAGATCAATGCGAGTGGAGGTACAGGGATGGCTCGTGTGCCCACCTGTGCCCCCCACCACCCACCCCATTTCTCCAGCCCCCCCCCCCCAAGGGAGGGCGGTCTCACCTCATGGTTGGCGAGAAGCTCCTTTAGGTGCCGCTGCTCATCGATGAGGGGGACGCGGCGCTGCTCCCACTGGTTCGCCAGGTTCACGATTCGCTGGGCGCTGCTCTCGATCACTCCCTAAGACGCAGGGTGGGGGGACAGGGACAAACGGAGACACCGTCTTACGCCATCGTA